GCACGCACGCACGCACGCACGCACGCACGCACGCACGCACGCACGCACGCACGCACGCACACACAAACACACACGTATGTATCGATATAAATAAAAATACATCAAAATATAAGGAAAATATCAACATCAAGAAATGAATGAAAAAAACAAATTCACAATCCCTAAAGAATTATCAATCATCAGAACACATACGTATAAAAATAGGATCACAAGCAAACCAACCTTTACTAAATACAGTTTCAAACCTTAGAAAAGAACTGCTGCCAAAGTAGGTTACAGATCCTCCTTCAAACTAAATGGCACTGAAAATTACCAATGAAACTACTCCTTAACTACATAAACCAGGTGTATTCTATAGCATCCTACATATTGAGACATACGGTGACCTGCAGCATCCTACATATTAGACGCAAAACTTACCCTCATGGAACATTTGCCCTCATAGTACACAAACTGTGCCGCAACATCGGGCACACCCAAAGAATACAAATTCATCCATAATTACCATGTTCGGTAAAATTGAAGAGGGGTGGTAACTCCCGATTGTTGGGTAGTCTGGTGTTTGGATCCCTGAGTTCGTCAAAGAATTTGTGCGCACAGGCCTGTAGTGGCGTGATGCGCGCAGATGGTGTGTATTCCAGCAGTCGTGACACCAGGTTTATAGCGTCTTCTGGGGTGCGTTGACGGAACACCTGATTCAGAACAAAGAAAAGTAAATATTATTTGAATTATGAAGAAGAAGAAGAAAAAAATAAATAAATAAATAAAAAATAGAAGTAGAAGTCAGAACAAAGGAAAATTAATATCATTATAATTATGGAAAATTCCTTCATTTCTGTTTTGATATCTCTCACTCAAAGAGTAATCAATGTAAGACCAAGTATAGGAAATGTGATTTTATAACACAAAACTTTCATGCAAATAAACAAGGGCAGCACTGAAAGACAAACCAAAGGAAATTTTTTTACAGTAATGTTAAAATAAACTTTCATCTGTTCTTATAATCATACAAATGTCATATATACATAAATTCTGTTCACAAATGCTGAAAAAAATTGTATATATATGGAGTGGAGTGGAGTGGAGTGGAGGGGAGGGGAAGGGAGTGGAGTGGAGTGGAGGGGAAGGGAGTGGAGTGGGGGGGAGGGGAGGGGAAGGGAAGGGAGGGGAGTGGAGTGGAGGGTAGAAGGGAGTGGAGTGGAGGGGAAGGGAGTGGAGTGGGGGGGAGGGGAGGGGAAGGGAAGGGAGGGGAGTGGAGTGGAGGGGAAGGGAGTGGAGTGGGGGGGAGGGGAGGGGAAGGGAAGGGAGGGGAGTGGAGTGGAGGGGAAGGGAGTGGAGTGGAGGGGAAGGGAGTGGAGTGGAGGGGAAGGGAGTGGAGTGGGGGGGAGGGGAGGGGAAGGGAAGGGAGGGGAGTGGAGTGGAGGGGAAGGGAGTGGAGTGGAGTGGAGGGGAAGGAAGTGGAGGGGAAGGGAGTGGAGTGGAGGGAAGGGGAGGGGAGAGAAGGGGAGGGGAGAGAAGGAGAGAGAGAGAGAGAGAGAGAGAGAGAGAGGAGAGAGAGAGAGAGAAAGAGAGAGAGAGAGAGAGAGAGAGAGAGAGAAAGAGAGAGAAAGAGAAGAGAAAGAGAGAGAAAGAGAGAGAGAGAGAGAGAAAGAGAGAAGAGAAGAGAGAAGAGAGAGAGAGAGAGAAAGAGGAGAGAGAGAGAGAGAAGAGAGAGAGAGAAAACAGCTGAAGAAGGATATAAATATTTCCACATATTTTGCAACAAAATATGTTAAAAGGAAAACAGCAATCTAAAAATCATAATTTACATACTCTGAAACACACCTGCACATCGAGGTGATAGAACATCATCTTTGATTAATGATTACCCACTTACAGGAGCTGGTATAAAATGTAATTCACGGACACCTCTGGAATATAATATTTTTATATATTTCTATTCTGTTAAACTAAAAAAAAATATACAGACTGAACCATCAAGCAATAAAACTTGAAACTCTAGTAAAACCAAGTCAAGATCTTCTGGCATACATAAAATAACTAAAGTAAATATGAGGCACCTAGTGATTGTGGGGCAATCTCTGAAATACAAATATAGTTTTCGAGATATCCCATACATGCTCATGTTAACGAAACTTCAGATTCAGAAAAAGAGGGTAAGAAGTTTTGTCAGCCAAATGATAACACTTTTCATTTTGGCAACTTTGCCTTTCTGCCACCAGGGACCTCATATTAAACAATCAATGTAATTATGTTCTAATATCAGGATACTTCAACAAGAGTGACAAATCAACAAGGTTCATTTGTAATTCTACTATCTATTTGGCCGGCAAGAGAACAGCCAGTTCTGAATTCTGCTGTTAGAATAATCAAACATATGTAGTCGACGGGAAATGATCCAAGAAGCCCTGACCATTCGAGAACTCAATTTAGCTCATCTATTCTGGAATATAAAGACATCTATAATTTCACTATTTTATCTATCAAATAAGGTTAGTCTTATAAGAAACAAACTTTTACTCAATCTATCTTCACAACCCAAATCTAAATAAAATAAAATTACCATTCAACCTTTTGCAGAAGTAAGAGAGGTCAGTGACATTGTTTGTGTTAAGTATGTATACCAATTAGAAAAACTTTTGTATTAGTACTATAATACTGCCTGCAGTGGCAGTTGCTTGCCCACATACACTATCCAGCATTTGAAGAGACCAACTTACCACCCAGGATTTGGCACAGAATTTTAGGCTATACACAATAATATATAAAGAAAAAGATTTTAATTCACCACATTTAGTAAAAAAAAAAAAAAAAAAAGAAAGAAAGAAAGAAAGAAAAAAAAAAAAGCTTTTACTACATCTAATAAGGAACCTTTATATATTCAAACAATCAAATTCTTATTCCATTTCTACTGTGGCTGGATTTCGTTTTATCTCTATGTATCTATTATAGTATTTGTGTTCCTGTTCATCACAGCAAATGATCTTTTTGCTGCTAACTTTATTTAACACTTTTTTCAACACAAACTACTGAACTTTCCCATCCTTTCAGGGTTAGAAGCATCAAGTTCACCAACAAATTTTCTGAAGAATTATATGGTTCCCTCCAAGTCACCACTGGATTATTTCACAGAAACAAGAAAACAAAGCGTGAAATATACTATAGAGCACAGTTATTCCCAAGAATTACCCATCTGAAAATACTCTTGTAATATTCCCATCCTGTTCTGTTTAGTTTGTTGCAATCAAGTCAAGGAAAAACTTAGGACAGCTATATGAATGACATGAACAAAGCGTCAAGCGCAAAGGCCAGGGTGACAGAAAAGACTCGCCACGAGTGCACAAACCTCTTCGAGTGTGAAATGACTCATTTGGCGCTTAGAAGGGGGCTTTAATATTATTCCCATCAATAAATGAATGTGGAATGTAACGTGCGTAAGCAGTGACTAGAAGAGCGCTGGCTCCAGGGAGGATGCCATTTCCATGCTGCACACCGTATTCCTGGCCGCTGTGACCAGCAGCGCAGGTTGTATTACGTAAAATTGAAAATTACCAAAAAATTAGATATATGACACAAATAACCAAATGTTCCATATTTTTTTTTTCTTGCACTGAGCTATTTACTGCATAGAGAGATGATATGAAGTGTGCAAGGAAAAGAAGTAATTATCATCTGGATAAAGCAAATCAAAAGACAAATATGGACATTGGAAAATGGCGATAAATCTAAAAAAGATTTCACACAACAACTTTGCAAAGGGCAGGCACAGTCTTGTCAGCGCTCATGGTGTTTTGTGTGCGCCCGGCCTACGCACCACATGCCTGGATGCTGGCCACTTACGTAACCATTGGAACCAGATCCAGGGGGGTTAATTCTAATGTTTAGAAAATTGATACTGTTGCAATCATTTACATTATGATCATCATCATAAATTCAAATACAATAAGCAATAAAAAAACTAATCTAAAAAATCTGGGAAGCCTGTAAACAGGTGAGATGGGTGCAACTAGTAAATATACCTTGGAGACTAAATATTTGTGGAGCCATCAATGTGTAAATAAATTCAATAAATTAATCACTTCCTGCTGGGTGGCATGTACATACATGCCATGCCCATTATAGACAAGGTAATGGGTGGCATTATACAAGACCCTTACTTACTGTTGGCTCATGGGATGGTCCTTGTTTTTGCCAATAGTAGAAGCATCATTTCTGTGGTAAAACTTTTGGCCACTAGCAATTAAATTGAAGGTAAACCTTTAAAAATTTGATACTTTTAAAAACTGTATCAAACCATAAGCTTTTAGGTGCCCAATGTTGCCCGCAAACTGCAAAAGCCAGGGACTCTGTCAATACATGCCAACAAGTCTGCAATCATGTCAACTTTTCTCATTTTTAACTCAGCATTATTGGTTAAAATCAGTGGATATGGCATGTACATCACTCTATCCCAGCGCAGACAGTTAACCCATCGCCGACGGGTAAAAATTTTGGCAAGTGGACGTATGCACAGGTTTGTTGGCGCACATCAGCAGTTTCCCCTATTTGCGCTCGGCTCGATCGTTAGTTTGCGAGCGACATTTAGCACCTAAAAGCTTTTATTTTGCTAAAATTTATAAATATATTAAAATTTTGAAGGTTTAACTTCATTGCCTAAAATCTTTACCACATAAATGAAGCCGCTACTATCGGAGAAAAAACAACCTCCATCTGACGAGCCAGTAGTGCAGGAATGGCATGACATGATGCCCCAGCGTTCAGTCCACAACAGCCATGGCATGTACGTACGTGCCCCTCGGGGCAACGGTTAACAGGGTAAATTATGATTCTGCAAAGAGATCCACCTCCCCTCCTTGATAACACTGCAGTGGCATAGAAAAATCCACTTTACCAATATAAAAATCAAACATATAGTCTGTTGAAAGTTATATGAATTCAACTATCCCTCTGAAAACAATAATAACAATAACAACAAATTATTTAGAACAGTAAGCGAGGCAATGAAAGAAACCATATTATTATTCCCTTGGGGTATGCTTAACAAACCTTAACTCCAGAATTTCAAAAGCTGGTATTCATTGTCCTGATGCTAATGTATCAGCTCATCTTATAATGGTAACTGAAGATTTCACAGTAATAGGTACTTGATGCCATTAATCATGACATACAAAGGTTTTCATTTTAATCATTTCCATCTTCATTGAAGCTGAACTTAGAGATTTTCATCTCTATTACAAATGAACGTGTGACGATGCTCTCACAGTATGCAAGACTACTTAAAAGCTGTTGAAGGATCTATTTCTTTTAGTTTCAGTGAAGTTGAGCATGTCATAACATGCCAACTTTAACTGTGTGAACTTCATTGTAAAGAAAAAAAAAAAAAAAAAAAAAAAGTTTTCATGTAATAGATACCCCAAGCAGAGCCTGCCCTTTTAAAAAACATTCTTATTGGACTAAGTGACATCAAGCACTTCTGAAGAAGGTCTACTTTCAAACTAGACATAGCACTGCCTATATGTATATCTTTCACTAAAAACACGATTTCCAGGTAAACATTGCCTAACTGCAAACTTTGCTATGGTTTCTGAAAGTGCTGCAAGAAAGAATGCAAACTTAAATGAGAACAAACAAATGAACCACAGAACTGCAGCTTCTGCGTTCATGTATGAAAATAAAAAATAAGGATATTAGGTTTTTTACCATCTCTCTTCATTCTGATCAATAAAATAAAGAAAAAAAAAAACCCTATCTTGAAGTGTTATTCAATAAGGATGCTACCAACTATACTACTCTCCATTAACACTATGCAATGTTCAAGTTAACCTTCAATGTTGTCACTTTCACAAAAATATACCGGTACACCAAACATTCTTTTCTTTTTCTTTTTTCTTTTTAAACAAATTTTGCTATCTACATGAGAAGCTACTTGATCACTTAATACAAGCCAATCACAGTCTGCCTCAAGTGTTAGAAAAGCTTCTCACCTGGCTTGCCTATGCAAAGCTAACTACCGGTTCGTACACACTATTGTTAAGAAATCTTCATACTTTATTAGAGCCAAGGAGTCTACTATCAACATATTTCATCTTTACTTATACGGGTAAAAAACATATTCCCAGGCAAATAAAGGTCATTGAGGTGCAAAGGTAAGATCTACCGAGGAAACCAATTCAGAGAGAGACAAGAATGAAAGAAGATTGATGAGAAAATCTTTTTTTTTTCCCATGCTCAGACTTTCTATAACCACTTACTGTTCCAAGATAAAAATACAAGCATAGGTTTGTTTTTAACCTTCACTGATTTTTATAAGCTATCAAAAATTAGTTTTTGAGTTTCAGTTTACAAATAAGTACGTGCACGGTCTATGCACTTTTAAGTTGGTGATGGAGCTCCCTAAACAACTGATTCAATATCATTACCCTTTTTTGTTCTCCACACAGTGAAGGTTAGTATGATATCTCGAAATGTGAACAATAAACAATAATACTCTCAGCTGATATTAAAAGAATGATGAAAAATAATGGAAAAAATCCAGAATCATTTACATTACCAAATCAAAAAACAAAAAAGGAAATTTCAAAACTTAACAGGTTATCACTCAGCAAGGAAGAAATCTATGACATTCAGGTTAAAATAAACTTTCCCATGATTATGTTGTTAAAACCAAAAGATTTCACATACTGTTAGAAAACATTTTTTTTATGACCACCCATGGTTAAAAAAAAGTCTAAAATTGAGAGCTCATACTTCCAAAAACACTTTCAAGACAATTTCATAAAGACAGGTCACTGCCTATGTTCAATGTGAGGAGAGAGAGAAAGAAATATTTCATTAAAAAAAGAGAGAAAGAAAGAAAGAGAGAGAGAGTGAGAGTGAAAGAGTGAGAGTGAAAAGAAGAGTGAGAGAGGGAGAGAGGGGGGGGGCGGGGGGGGGAGAGAGAGAGAGAGAGAAGAGAGAGAGAGAGAGAGAGAGAGAGAGAAGGAGAGAGAGAGAGAGAGAGAGAGAGAGAGAGAGAGAGAGAGAGAGAGAGAGAGAGAGAGAGAGAGAAAGAGAGACGAGAGAAAGAGAGAGAGAAGAGAGAGAGAAGAGAAAGAGAAAGAGAAGAGAAAGAGAGAGAGAGAGAGAGAGAGAGAGAGAGAAGAGAGAGAGAGAGAGAGAGAGGAGAGAGAGAGAGAGAGAGAGGAGAGAGAGAGAGAGAGAAAGAGAAAGAGAAAGAGAAGAGAAAAGAGAGAAGAGAGAGAGAGAGAGAGAGAGAAGAGAGAGAGAGAGAGAGAGAGAGAGAGAGAGACAAGAGGAGAGAGAGAGAGACAGAGA